TTCGGGTGCAACACAAGCGTTGCAGGCGCTTGTGCTGCGCCTGCAACGTCGCGATTTATTTAATTTGTAACAATTAGGCTATTTTCATTTAACCATTCCTTTCGGGGGTCTAGCTAGCCACGAGTACGAGCGAGTGCCGGAGTTGAGATGACGCAAAGGAAAGAGTAGGAAGCCAGACAGTGGTCGGAGTGTGGCTGTGTCAGCTCTGGGCTCATTACGGTTTAAACAAAAAAAAATGGCTTAATGCGATCGGATCGTCCACAAACCACCGCACACGAGAGTGAATGCGAATGAATCGGCTTAGCACAAGCACGGCGAGCCGGCCTCTGCTTGGCTGAGTGCGAGCAAGGTCACGGCATCCTCCACGTGCTCTCCCAGCCACCCCTTGTCCTTCGATTTCTCTGGCATCAAGTGAGATTTCATCGCTAAAGCCATTATTCATCGATACAACCATTATCCTTAAGCCAATTACTGTCATTGCGTTTGGGCCACATCAATTTAGTCGAGTTATTACGGTTGTTCTCAAAGATCGCAATGGGAGGTGGCGGCACCACCGAGATCCTGGGTTTGAAACTAAACTAAACTCTTTTATATTTTACCAGGTAAGGCTCACTGAGCGACATAGCTCTTTCTCAGAGACGACCTGGCCACAAGTGATTGCTCAACGAAATGGATTATCAAGTGGAAATGTATAGCAGCCAAATACTCTAAACGCATGTTTCTAAAAATAGAGGGAAAAACCACAGGACCGGGAGAAAAAATCACACGACCAAGTGGGGAAACATGCAAACTCCAAATATACAGGCGTCAGGGTCGGGATCCACGACCTCCTGTATACAAGGTGAGGTGGTTAACATCTCGCCACCATCGTGTGAAACGTGGCAGTGCCCGTGATTAAAACGAACTTTATATTATAGTTATCTTTGTCCTCTCTGTGACTATGTTGAAGTGTAATTTGCATACTCACCAACCGGTGATCACTTCTTGTGTTTAAATTTTCCGAGAACAAAAATGCCTTTCTGACAATCTTGCATTTTTCCATGAGCATAAAGACAATTTAATTTCAGATTTGTATATTTGAGCTCCTCCATATTAAAGTCTACCTTTATTTTTTTATTTGTTATCCTCGCACTGGTTGTGAACTCTAACAGACATTCTCCTCTCTCATTCCTCACCTCATTGCCAAACTTCCCAATCGTCTTCTCATCTCTGATCATTGTTACCAACCATAGCATTGAAGCCACCGGTTGTGCATTGTGTACTCGTTTAAAAGTTGGTTAATTTCTTCATACATTTGTTCTATGGCTAGATCTTCACGGCTTGTCAGATAATTAATCATTTTGCACTTGTAATAGTTGGAAAACCTTAACGTTGGCTGAGAAATGCTATCTGAAGCTTTCTCGAATCCTAAAACTAAAAATTGTATTGACTTAAAGCTTTCGTGACTGCAGGAATTCATATTCTTTGGGTCTTTCGGCAAAGTCACGTAGATAGGTTCAAGCGATCGCCTGTGTTGTGATCGAAACGTCGTAGTTTTTTAGTTTTTTTGTTATTTTCTTTGAACCTATCTATGTGACCTTTACCGAAAGACCCAAAGAATATAAAAATGTTCATTTCAGAGACTGAGATTGCATTAAAAAAGTAGCGAAATGCATATAAGAGAAGTTGGGCATTGGGAAACACTCCTCAACGTTATTCACATTACACGTTAGAAGATATTTGAAAACAAATTGATTGGAGAAATTATTGCATGCACGTACGTGAAGAAAGTATTCACCATACATATGCGGAGGACACAGGCATTGTTAGCCAATGCAAATGGGCTGCAGTAAATGATTGAATCAACTTAACAATGGCGGCATGACAATCGGGCTGGAGATACTCAAGAGCAAAAACAAAAGTCACGTGCAACAGGACAGAGGTCACGTGCAACAGGGTTTGGAAAAATAAAGGAAATCATTGTTGGAGAGACACAGCTGGAAAACACAATGGAGTATGTTTACCTAAGGTCATTCTTGAAAGTGAACCTGGATCAAAATTATGAACTTAAGAAGTGAACGAGAGCAGGCTGGAATGCTTTTGATAACTTGAAATTAATAATGAAAACGCAGCATAACACTGTGTTTGAAGAAGACATTAAGCAAAAAAAAATCTGTACATTATGGCATGGGTCGGTTATATGGACAATCGCAATAAAAATGGAACAAAAGATGAAAAAGAAGCAAAGAAGCATGGAGAGGTGCCTGCTTGACATTGTACTGACAGTAAGGCAGGAGGGACACATGCATCACAGAACGACCACAAATTATAATTATAAACTTTCACTGTTTAGGAAAATCATTTGGGCTTGGGCAGGACACATCACTGGAAGCGATGGTGGTGATTGTCAAAGCTGCTGATGGAATAGTGGCCAAAGGATGGATCATACCAGAGATGAAAGCCATGCAGAGATTAAAACCATTGCAGGGATGGCGGGATGAGATCAGCTCACGTGCAGGAGCAAGATGGATTGTGGTATCACGGGATCATGAGTGATGGTGACGACTTGAGGTGGGCTTCATCCAGCAGTGGATATATCGTGACTGACAATTATGATGCTATGTAAATAGTATGCAAATCACGTGCTAATGATAAAATTTAGGCTAATGGAGTGTACACAGCGGTACAGATGAGATAGACATTTTTTAAAAGAAACAATACCAATGAGACAATAAAAACTAGACCAAAAAACCCCGAATATATTATTGAATCAAAATGCCACCTTGCATTGTGAACCCACCAGTCGGGAGAGTGGTTACACCCCAAGCGCATATGCGTGGTTTCATAATTACTTTGTACACATATGATTCATTTGAACAAGGTAGGGCCGACGGAAATACATGCTAGAGTCAAGGTAAAAGTACAGCCCTGCAATTGCTTGCTCACGCCACGACTGGCAGAAGGGCCTCCACTCGAGGGAGGGCTAGAGAGTCCATCTAGAGGGTGTTTGGTCTACTCATCCACGTTGGCCTGATGTCTTGTAAGAGGTGGGAGTACTCACACTTTGACCCCCCGACAGACAACTCTCTAATCAACTCACTGTAATCGTAGAGTAAGTGTAGCCACTGTATATCAGAACAGTGTTAATTTTCATAAATTAATTGTGAGCATTTTTGCAATTTGTTTTATTGTTTAAACAATGTCACCAAATTGTCCATTATTGTCAATGAAGTAAACGCTTAAAAACAGCCCATTACCACGATCATTAACCATGCTCAAGAGCAGAAAAAAACAGGTTAATGTTGCAGAAAATCCTGCTCCATCAAAATAACGTTTGCCCATTATCCACCACGTTAGCATATAATACGCCTCATTTTAATGTTACAGGGCATGGTCAATGATGGTAGAATGCTGGTGTCATGGTTAGCACACTGGACTTGCAAATCCAGAGGTCCACCGGTTCAGCTCGCAAATTGGCGTGGAAGTTGAAAACAATGGTGCAATTTTTTTTTTAATCCACCGAGCCCTGGCCACCCGGCAGCATAAACGGGGACACCACAGTGAGTCGAATGGCAGGCCGCTCCTGGTGGGGTGCAACATTAATTACTCCCCAGCACTTCCAACACGTCTGACCAGAGTGGAATAGGAGGCCAAAACACCCTTCTAGATGGGGGCTCCTTGAGACCTTACTCTAGTGAAGGCTCTTATGCCAGCGGTGATGTGAGCAAGATATTGCAAGGCTCTGTCACCCAACTTACCGGGCGAGGCATTGTGGGTAGAGTGTTCATCTCGCGATCAGACAGTCGCAGGTTCAAATCTCGGTCAGAGGTCAACTCAGATGTCCCTTGAAGATTGATAGAATCACTTATATTTCATGGGACTTTGCACACTGGTTGTCCTTTGGTGACAGTCACCCCTGCAATAGCAATGTGATATACTTGGCTCTGGCTCAGGGCCACTAACAGAAATGAGCACCACCAATGCTAGTCTGAGCAGGCAAGCGCGGTGGCATTTAAGTTTAAAAATGGGGATTTCACAACAATGTGAAGCATCGATTTGTTAACGTTGAATCATAAACACGCATGCAAGTTAGAGACAACATTGACTTAAACGAGTATATTGTCTTGGGTAGAACAATCTTACTGTAAGGAAGCATTACCGGTGGTTGTGACTGGAGAGAGAATGTCAGTAAAAGGAGGGAATGCGCCTAAAAAGTATGCTATATGGAGCGAGTGAAATTCGGCCATTCACAGGAGCTTCACGGATTGTTGCATTGAGACAGCGCCGGATGCAGACGTTCATCCAGCAGTAGTTAGATCACGACGATGATGCAATACGCTTACGAGTGAATACTTTTGATCAGTTAATGTTAAAGGCAACGGTGCTCATGACCCGTGCAGCCTCGAGTATCCACGACACCCACCACAAACTTCAAACGTGATCGATTGTGGCCATTAATGAATCAAATTCATAGAATCGCATGAGCGGCGTGGGGGGGTGTGTCGGATGAGTAGTGAATCTGCAGTGATCACGTGTGGACATGTTGGTGGGCATGCTCTGCATTCACACTCGCGAGTGTCGCCACTGCGCAGGTTTTTGCGCGGTTGTGCCGCACAGCTCTCCGACGTGCTTTTGGTTTGTACCGCAGCGGCATGTTCGGCACTATGTCTTGACATTTCGTTCCACTTGTGGGGGAGCTTCTTCATATGCGTATATGTGTTGAACTTATTTTTGCACCACATTTAACCACAATAATCTATTCGGTTCTAAAAACAATTGCGGAAGGAAGAGCATTCCAGACGGCCGCAGAAGCGCGTCTGGAAGCGTGCGATGCAGTGGCCGTCTTTGTTCGACGGCTCGCCAAGAGTCGCTGCGAGCGAGGATGAGTGAGTTCATGCTCCTTGATGAGCTCACCGTGGTATTGCGGTTCATTTGTGGCGAGCACTTTGTCTGTAACGAGCATGACCTTACATTGCGTTCCTTCGTGCGCCAGTGTCCGACAGTTGAAGGGGAGCGCTCACCTTCGCTGAGGGGGTCCAGAGTGTGGATCATGAGCTGGAAAATCCCATTCCTCATGGTGCTGTTGTGCAGCGAGGCTGAGCTGCCACCGCGCTGCAGCTGTGGCTTGGGCTTCGAAGGAAAACAAATCAACGAGGGGGCGATGTGTCAACGTATGCGGCCAGATTCACGCCTCGGAAACAAAAGCACCGTTCGCCTTTTGGAGTTCTCTGGTCTGACACGCGTGAGACTAGACCACGAAGAAGGTTGTCTCTGGTGTAGGCTAATCAGTTTCGAAGACAATGCATATTTTATCAGAGCATGTTTTGTTTGCATGTTCACCACAAGTACGTGTGGCTAATACAGACATGATTCCTTGCAAAAGGTTTATATTTGGTGTTTGAACATCTTAGCACTTGTTTATTGCCAGAAAGGGTAAAACCGATTATTATTTTGCATACAAAAGCAATCTGTCGAAAAGGAGTGTAAAATACACCGAGCATCTCATTGCTTAATATTCTGGAAATAACCTTCTGATTTGCTCTGTGTTGTAAAGGAATCTTATTTAACATTCGGGAAATCACCTTCAGATTCGCCTTTTTCATTTTTATATCTGAAGAAAAAGAGAAAATGTTGCTTCTGATATACTCTACAGCGACTCAAGATTCATATGTTAATTTATGGTAATTGACCACCGAACATATATATCTGCAAAATAATAAATTTAAAGCCCTTTCAATTAAGGGATAATTATTTCTATGTCAATAGATTGATTTCTGTATGGCTTTACAATCTAAGATACATTTTTCGTGTTACCAACTGAACTTTATTTTCACACACTAGTCAAATGGTGCAGTGCCATCGTAAATTGGTAACACAAATGTGTTTATTCTTACGGCATAAAACTATACCAGAATACCACTACAAAACACCAATTGGCAGATGTCACTTACGACAGATGGAATGTATGAAATCGTTTTATGCATACAATGTAAGACAAATGAGAGCGCTATAGTGTATTTATGATATCCTATTACAGCACCATGGGCAAGGAATGTAAATATTCACTGCGTGAACTCTGAATTGAATGACATTTCCGAAGAATCACACTGAACTCTATTAGGCTCTCAGTACAAGAGTATAATTCAGAAAGAAAAAAAAACATTCATTTGATTTCACTCAGCTGTTAAGTTGGAGCTCATTGATCAATCTTGTACATATTATTAATAACTGAACAGGCAGACCCTATTTTACGGGTTCCACTACCTCACTTTATATGATGAACAGTTGACATGACATGTCTACTGGTAGGACAGCCAGCTGCTGGAGTAAACCCCTTTTTTCCCTGAGGGGACATGTCTCGTTCAAAAACATTGACCCACAGAGTCAGTGTTTTGATTGCTCCGGTACCTTGAGTTTGGTTTCGTCCACTTCATCACTCATGTTCGTGCCGTTGCTCATCTAGAAGGCATCAGGAAAACCATTGCAACACAACATGGGGAGAACATTAGAATGTAAATCAATATGCTGCAATGCAACACACACACACACATTATACACCTCACAATAATAAACACAGTCGGTGTTTGTCGGCATGTTTTCGTGTGCGTATGGTGAGCGCTAGTGCAGTGGTTAGCGCACCCCACTACGAACCTGGGCAACCCAAGTTCGAATCCCGCTCACGGAAACTAACACCAGTGACAATTATTTGAACTGGTCCTGGGCATTCCCTAGGTCGATTCAGCATCCAATGACTACCTGGTGCATGGTGTGTGAACATCGCCACTCGGGAGACAAAGGTGGCCAGGTGTGGTTCTGGCCACCCCCTAGCCCCCCTCTCCGTGTGCATGTTGGTGCTTTCTAACAGCACTTTTCCCAAGTCTGTATAGGGAATAGGTGGACTGATAGCAACCGGGGTTCGATACACGGCCACGAAAAGTTTTTTGGGTTTGGCCATGTTTGTTTGTTGTAGTACAGAGTTAGACTGATGGCCTTAATCTAAGTTGTCTTGTGGTTGTTGTTGTTGTTTGACTCGCATCCCACTGGGATTTTTACACACAGCGTTGGTATACGGTGCTTTTTCTGAAATATTTTGCTGTTTTTTCCTGGATTTTATGTTTTGCACAGTCACATAGTCACTTTAAGATGTTTTCTTGTGCACCCGATTCAAGAGTCGAATGGCTCACAGGGCTATACCAAATAAATGAAACTGAAATGAAAACTGAAACTGAACAACAGTCTCATGTATATAATGAGCTGGTCCTGTGCCTCCTCTAAATCTGACGAGCCTTAAATGAGTATGTGAATACTGTACGTGATGTGTAAACATCAGCACCGAGGAGACAAAAGCAAATTGACAATTGTGGTGGCCACATCAACTCCATCGGGCATTGTGAAAACCTTAATAGGTGCTCACTAACAGCACTTTCTCCAGCAGCCTTAAGGCTACGTGGAGAATTGTTGTGCTTTTTTTCTGGGTGTACGTTTGAGGGTCAGCTGCAAGTGGTACAACCAGCGGCAATTTTCACAGTATTTAAAACCTGACCTGGCCCTTCACGAGCTTCACTCCACACAAACCATAGCAGATGCACAATTGGAAAATTAAATTCACTCCAATGTCACAGCGTGCGACTGCGGTCACCCAGAACAGACCGTGCAACATATAATGACGCAATGCCCGATCCGCAAATTCGAAGGAGACATCAAAGTGATACACTCTGCTGCTTCTGACTCGGTAATCTGGCTTGACCACCTGAATGTGAAATTGTCGTTGTTGATCTGTATCTGCATGTCAGTATGTTGAATTTATTTCACACCGTGCGTAGCCAACCGTGCTAATAGAAGGTGTGTGAAATAGGAGGTGCATCAACCATACGAAAGAAGAGGATAGCTTGATAACAGAGATGTTTTTTTTTGGGATTAGATCGCTTAAATATAAATGTGTCGTTAAACCCTCCACCACCCGACACAGGCAATTAGTAAGGTTTGTCACGTAAACGAACCATGCCAATTCGTGTCTAGTTCAGCATACCAGTGTGTTGAAGAGTAAACCCACAACAATTACAATTCTAGTACGACGCTTATCCAGTAATTACACCAAGCACACCAGTGTGTTGGAGAGCCACACAACTGTGGCTGTCGCCTGATGAAGCTGGTTGTCATTATCGGCGAAGCATCATACTGGTGTCCTGAACTAGTAACGAATTGCAATATTTTGTTTACGTGACAAATCTTACTAATTGGCTGTGTCGGATGGTGGCGGGTGTAACGACACATTTATATTTACACAATCTAACCCAAACAAAAAAATCAATCATGAATAATATTGGTCGCGAAAGCCTACGTGTTAAAGAGACAATCTTGACTCAGTATAAAACGCGTATCGAATGCAGTGGCAACGCAACACTGGTGTTGGAGAAACAAACGATGCTATGCATTGTACTAATCAACACCCCTCCCCCCCCCCCCCTTTTTGCACCGTGCTGGCTTTTGCAGATGGTTCCGAATGGTATTGTGCTCCAATGGAGCCTTGCGCCATAGGCCAAATTCTGACACACGGAAACGTACACATTGTACTTTGTTTACAACTGCGAATGTTAAGCAGGATTCGTTTTAAAAACATACAGGTGGGTTTCCATGCTACATTTATTCAGTTAACCTTCTCATGTGTATGTAATTTTAAAGAAGAACACAATTTAAAGAATGGCTTTTTTCAACGAAATGTAAACGAATTAAGAACGTTAAGGTAACATTATCGTTTCATAATAAAAAGTAAACCACTTTTGAAAGTACCAAGTAGATAATCACGCGTACAAATTACCGCGTGTTTGCATAAAAATGTATAATTTGTGTTACAACTGAACATTTTACTTAGTCATTCTCTTTGTTTTTGTAAGGAGTGTCTAAGCTTGGAGTGTCTGCACATTTGGCCTTCATATTGCATTACATAAACAGTTAAAATAATAATCGGAACAAGAAAAATCTCTGCTCCCATTGACAGTAAAGTACATGACCAAAGTCAAGAGAAAACACACAAAAAATGCCAATTATTTATCCATGAACATCTCACTCAGTCTCAAGACTCATTTATAATGAAGGCCCTGCATTGTGATGAGTGGCATGTGGAAAGGAACCGGAGAACCTTGAGAAACTCACACAAACGGTGGGGTAACACTGAACACTGTCATCTTCTGGTCATCTGGAAGTCCCATGTCTACAATCAATAATTAATCCAAGATTCATAACACGTGCCATATTCAGCAAAAAGCTGAGACGGAAGCATGGATGGCACTGAGAAAATGAAACTAAATTTAACTTGACAGATGAGATTATAAATGTTTTCAGACGGGTCTTAAAAACACTGATTGTCACGGCTGAGCGGACTTCAGTGTGGCAGAGATTGTTCCAGACCGCCGGGGCTGCAGATGAAAAAAAATCCGTTCTGCTGGCCTAAGCCGAGTGGTTCTCACACACAGCGGCAACAGCAGCTCCATAGCAGACAAACGTAGGTTTCGTGATGGTACATATGGTCAGATGGCATCGCTCAAGGAAGGCTGATTGATCGGCAAGCTGTGATGGTTACCCATACACATACTAACCAGCCGCAACTATGCTTAGCTTTTCAGATCCGACAAGATTGGGCATGTTTATGGTGATTTGTTCAATGAAAATGTGAATGAGATTGCCAAGACAGTGTTTGTTAAAACAATATAATTACAGGTTTCCCCCACTTTGTGCGGTTTGGTTTGAATTCACTCATATGCAGCTATGCGGTCGAACGTGGGACAACTGTGTGTACGTGCTACTTGACAGCCAGCTGCCTCGTGCAGTTTTGCCTCGTACACCATTTTTAAAAAATGCATCTACTACCGCATAAAGCGAGGGACACCTGTATAGTCAATGATGTGGTTGAGTATATATATACAGTAAACAACATCACTTGTAGGTATATTTAATGTTGCCGAACATATAATATATTACAAAAAACATGAATCTGTTTCACAGATTTGCATACGTTGCTTGTGGCTCGTTGGACTAAGGCCACGAAGTTTGCCGTCTCAGCATTTTAGAAGTTCGGAAATATGTTCCTCATAACGGTTATCACAAGAGGCAACCTTGGCACATCAGCTATGGTTCTTGAGTTATGGTACAAACCACTGGGGTTGGTTTTCAGCTGAAGGGAATGTTAAAAGCATCGGACCTGAATTGAGAAAATCTCTCTGCTTTGCACCTGCTTACTGTTCATTTAGGCCAAGAGGTCATCACAAAACACAGACAATTATATGAATGCCAGCACACTCAAAATCCTTCTGCTAGATCTGCTAGTTGCTTGACACACAACCTCAAATGTCCATTCTTACTGTGTCCCACCCTCTGGCTCTCGATCTTCCCTGTGGCTGTCAACCTCCAGGTGCCCACTGCAATACCTGCCTCAGTGAGGTGCCTTCTCTCTAACACAGGGGTCCCCAACCCCTGTGTTAGAGAGAAGGAACCGGGCCGCACAGCAGCAGGAGGTGAGAGCGCTGACTCCGAGCGTGGCCCACCCCTATTGTTTTATTATTTACCACTTCTGTCCGCGCCTCTTTCACGCACTGCGCACTCGTCTCAGTCACAGTGTTGGTAAGCCCACAAACTAACCCCCTAGTAGCCAAAATGAGTAAAAAAAAGCAAACGTCGCTGGAGAGCTTCTTTGAAAAGGGGGAAAGACCCAATGATGAACCCCCCCCCGGTCCGTGAAAAAAATGTCTTCTACGAAACCGGTCCCTGGTACCAAAAAGGTTGGGGACCTTCTCTCTAAGAGATGTCCCAACCATTGTGCCACCTTCTTCCCGATCGCATCGAAGTCAGGGTCATAGGTTTGCCACAATTTGTAACGGACCTTGCTTTTAAATCACGATTTAGACGAACATGCTTGTGTCACTGCATGCAACTTATCAAATTGCTTTTAAAATGTAAACAAATGTATAATACTGCGTTATTATTATTGTAATTCGGCCAACATAATTAATTTCGCACCAGTTTTTGTTTAAAATTCCGTAGTTTATAATGCTCAGAATAATGGCAATTGATGCTTAAAAAACGTTATTAGTTTTTACATTTCTATTGGCTTGTCAGCTGTAAGGGATAAAGGTATGTTATTTCACGTATCTAAAATGTCCCTGTCATGGGAATGTGGAATCTTCACCAATGGTTCAGGAACATAACTGGAAAAGAACACTGCCTCGTTGCTCATGTTGAGCAAGCAGGGCAATTCCTGTTTGACTTGAATACGTTCTACTGGAATCATCCTCAGCCTTGTCACGGCCAATTTCTAAGACTGCAATCCGCTATCACAAAATGATCACCGCTTATGTCCCACTTCACCCAGGAGGCACGCGATTTCGATAATGCACGTGGCAATTACATGACGCCGCACATCTGTGTCTACGAAGTCATTTGAGGTTATGGCTCTTTAACGTTTA